TCGATTTCAAGAATCACGCTTCTATCTTGTTTGGCATGTTCATTCTGCTTCCACCGGTAAATCATAATTTTTAACATGACTTTCCATGTCGTTTTAAAAAACATGCTACATTTCACTGAATTCTAACTCTTACATCTGGCGTTATAACATATTCTTTTATACTACAATGAAAATGTTAATTAAGTTCTCTTACTATCGAAACATTCAATTAAACACTCGAAGTATAAAAAACACCCAATCAAACTATATAGCCAGTTAGCAACACGTAACCGATTGAAATGAGTGTAGAAATCATTTTCCATCTTCACCACCCGTTTGCCGTTAACAAACAGGGCGTTGATCATCCGACTTGAACAGCAAACCATAGGCATGAGCCACTGGACACACATAAGCCACCGGGTCGCACACATAACACCCATATTCTCCTCCATTGAGAACGGAAATTACTTACAGAAACATAAAGAATTTACATTGAATATTGCATAGTAGTTTACAGTTAAGAAGGACTAAAACTGTAAATATTTATTGTGGAGGATTGAATGAGTGAAATAAGCTGTATGTTTATTGGGAAGGAAGAGACAACGAGTCTTCACGTCATTCATGTAAGCATCACCAAACGAAAGGTTGGTTTATCTATGTGGTGTCATTGGCAAAGGAACGACTTGTTATTAGTCTCATTTGTTTTGAGCAACATGTCGACAACGCAGTGGCAAGCTCGGTTCGAACGAAGACGGACTCCAGCAGTGTGGACATAACCAATATGAAGTGGAAAGATATTGAAAAGGTTTTATTCGTGTCATTCACGAACGGTTGCGAACGGATGGGATCCTACAATAGAGGAGTTGACGTTGATTATACCTCCACCAAACTTTATTGTTTACATTTTACAAAATTTGATCGAATTGATAATAAAGTTAAATAATCTATGATAATATTAAGAAGTTTTTTCAAAAATACTACTGAAATGAAACTTATTTGCACAATATAACTAATAGTTAATATAGTATACCCAAATACCTCGTGTTCTGATGCTTCACATGTTCAAACCTCATCATAGTTCAAAGATGATGTTGGCTTTAATGTAGAACATAATACTACATTAGCTTAGAAAATTCAACAAAAAATACTATATTATATGACTATGTATAAAATTTGAACATAAATTATTTTGATCAAGTTAAACTCTAATCACTACACTAAAAGTGAGTTTTTTTTCGAATTAATGTTAATTAATTAATTAATTACGAAAATAATGCTAGGAAAAAAGTATTTACCGATCTACTGCTGGTTTTAACCATGGTCAGGAAAAGTCGCCCAACCGTTGGGCGACTTTCCCTTCCATATGAACGCAGATCAACGGCCACTGCCAGCCACGCACGATCGTGCCTGCAAGGGGCACGATCGTGCCTAATTCCGAACACAGAATTTCAGCATTTTTTGCCCCAGTTCAACCCAAACTCATTTGTTTGCTATAAATAAGGTCTCTCTTCTCCTGTTTAAGTGTTACGAGCCATATACAACACATTATATAACATACAACACACCTGTTCACAAACACATACATAACACCTACTCTCAACGACATACAAGTAATCATCTAATATTCATACTCTAACACATGAAGACAACATACAAAAGTTTAGAAGAGATAATACGTGAAATGTTGTAAATTGTTCCTACAACATCTACTTTGCAAGAAAAACTCCAATACAAAAAGGCAAACTACAAGTTTTCATGGTCATCTTGATCATCGTGGTCATGGAGATGTTGCTGCTGATGTATACGCTTATGCCGTGGTCGTGGTTGAAGAACCACTCTCTCATGCTGCGTCTGGGATGATGAAGCCGCCGCTGCACTAGACGTCGATGGCATCTCTTGTAATGGGGGCATGTGTATAAGATGGTCGTAGTCGACTCGCCCCAACACATCTGAACACAAGGAGGCAATGCCTATTAGAGTGTCCATACATGTCCACATCATGAGTCTCACTCACTGTGGCAGTAGCCCGCTGATGTATACGCTGCAAAGCTCGTGTCTCAAATATGAAACACAATTATAATTACATTGAAATGCATACAAGTATTAACAAAATAAAATGACCCTACTTTACTAATTAGTAATATACTCACCGTAAGATGCAAAGCCAATGAGCTAGGCTGATAATGATGAGTAGGGAGTCTGAACGAAGGAGACACAAACAAACGAGTGATGCTGTAATACCATCCCATGTAGTCTCCTGAAACAGATGAGACAAATGTCGGTGTCCCAATCATGACTAGCTCAGCTCGCCTGTCCCACAAAGCGACATATTGGACATGTCTGAGTGCCCAATCCTCCGTATGCTTCCCATGCCTATCCAGTCTATGAAGCTCTACATAAGTGTCGATAGGTCGTGGAATGACCTGCACAAACCCAAACTGTCGCAAGACTCGATCAGGCAAACGAAGCTCAACAATGTCAAAACATATCAACGGCACACGTGCTCGCCATATGTGACTATGCTCTCGTCCAACTGGGGGCAACTCTGCAAACATCTCTGCTGTATACGACATCCATGTAATCTGTTTTATAAAGATACAGAATTAGTATTTATGTTATACATATTATAGCATATGTTATATTACCCACACGATACCTCAAATGCATCCATGTACACACCGAGCCCAGTAGCGGATGACATGCGACTTAGACCAGCAAATAGCCATCTAATGATTCATGTAACCGTTTCATTAATATGGATATTATTAATATACTTACATTCAACATACAATAACATAAATACTAACGATTGAAAACATACCGACGACCTAGTGGGTCCTTGCCCCGTACATGATGTGGTCCCAGAAGACGTGGAGGCTCATCAGGGAGTGGGTGTCCATCAATGCCATGATATGTGACTATAAGGGGACGCCCAATGTGGATATACTCTCATGACCAAATCTGGAGGAGTAGCAAAAATCCTCTAAGCTCTGTGCTCCCTCTATGGCAGTCGCAACACAGTTGTCTGTAGAGATAAGCCAGCGTGACACTACCCCAACTGAACTGTGCTACTACATCAAACCTCTCTAGCATAGGCAAGTGCAGCACCTGAATCTCATTTCCGCTTTTGTCAGCGAAAATGGAGGCTCCCATCATCATCAAGATATATGCCCACGCATGCTGCTGGATCATCACCTAATCAGCGTCCGGATGAAGCACCTGGAAGTGCTCCCTCAACCATGACATCCTCAGAGATGACCCCTGAAGGTCAGTCCGAAGAAGGGGACAGACTCCTAACAACCGCTCACACTCATCTACCCGTTGTCGACAAGCAGTGCCTCTAACAGCTCTCCCATCAACCTGTAGCCCAGTAAGTACAACAACATCTCCCAAGGTCACTATCACCTCACCAACAGGGAGGTGAAATGTGTGTGTCTCCTGCCTCCAATGCTCAAGAAGAGCGGTGAGTAGCGCTCTATCGAGAGGGACAGTAGCCACCAATATGTGCAGACCATAAAAACCCGCAACACGATGATATGCAAGTACTCTGTCGTCCACGTGCATATGCGACAAACCCCGCAGGTGTTCGCGGCACCTATCCACCTGAACATCGAGGCCAAGCCAAACATCCTCACTCTTGTGTGAGGCCTGCAATGTCAGGACAGAACGATCACTAGACCCAGGATCCGCTGTCACCTCCATGGCTACAAACAAACAATCCTTAATTCGCATTAGTTAATTTTTACTATTATACTAATTCTTTTTTTCTAAATAATTTTTTAATTAATTTTTACTATTAATTTTTTAATCAAAGACAAACTACGGTATACACATATGATTCCCACCAACATGATCATTAACAAAAAAAGACCATAAGCTTAAAAACCAAATGCATAATCTTCATTACAACAATACTCAGCACTCGAAGAACTCATCGACGTCTTTCTCCCTTTTCTTCTTTTCCTTCACTGACGTCTTAGGACTGCCTTAAACAAGAGGCTGGAGGGTTTTAATAATTAAGCAGAAAAGAAAAGCCACGTGTATATGCCTAAAAGAACCATTCCAAATTTAACCAAATAAATGATGCTACGTGTAAGGGCCGGTGCCGCGGGTGAGATAACGGAGTGAAATCTTCATTTAGATATCGAGTTTGTCTTCAAATTTTCAATAGAAAAAACTACCAAAATTCTAATATATCTAAAAGTCATAATTCACAAAGAACTCACATTTGACTATGAAAATACCCAAATTTTGATATCTACATTCAAGTCTACATTTCAAGACCCAAATTTAGCTACATTCAAATCTACCTAAATGCCCAAATGTCAAAATACACTTTAAAATTTCAACATTTCATACATATCCACATTTCACAACAACTCAATTCACAATCAATTCACAATCTAAAAATTTGAAAATTTTAACATTCAAACCCTAAGTTCAAAATGAGATGAAATGAAGTTTGATTTACCTACAAGAAAGAAGAAAGAGTGTTGAAAATGAAGATGGAGGTTTGCCGGAGTGGGGTCGCCGGAGATGGAGGTTCGCCGAAGCTCGGTCGTCGTTCCTCTTCATCGCTGCGGCTGGGGGATTGGATTTGCGTCTTTCTGTTTCGTTGGCTGGCCAACGTTTTTACTTAAAGGAAAGTCGCCCAACGGTTGAGCGACTTATAAGTCGCCAAACAATTTGGCGACTTATAAGTCGCCCAACCGTTGAGCGACTTACCCTAACCATGATTAACCGAGCAGTATATTGGTAAATACTTTTAACCTAATCCTATTTTCGTAATTAATTAATTAACATTAATACAAAAAAAACTCACTAAAAGTGTCACATTTTAGTAAACGATAATTATTTTAGTTATTTATAGATAACTGTGTCTAGTATATTCAAAAAAATGGGGTTCAAAGTAAATAAATAAGAAAAAATGTCATTCTACCCAAAACCGGAAAGGCGGAAGAGACAAGTGTACAGAAAGCGAGTGCTATATCCTACAAGAAGTTTCATTACATTTGTGTCGGGATGGATAAGAAACACAGAACTACTGTGCTGTTTTACTCCGTAACAAGTACTCCATTGATGGTCGGGTACGCGGGCGGTCATTCTTCCCTTAACTTTTCAAAAGCAGCGAAGAATCCGTCTCTGTCTCTCCACATATTCTCGCAACCTTCCCTGAAAGGCTTTCATGCCCTTCTCTCTCTGTCCGATAGACTAATCAGCCGTAGACACACTGCGGCAAGCCGATCCAAATAATTTCCATTTATTACTTGGAGCTAGCACAGTCGCGGAAGCAAAAAGGGAATTCGCTTAAACAGAAGTTCTTGTTCAGTCTAAACCTATAGACATCATCTGTGAGTTCACAATCCTGTTTTCTTCATTGCTATTCTTTTGCGTCCTTCATTAGCACAGTAGTTAGGGTTCCAAGTTTATATTTTTTCTGATAATATCGTCTGATATTTTAAAATATGTCGGAAAAGTTGATTCTTTCAGCAATAATCACCATGTTAAATATGGCGGATGGTGAAAGCGGGTGGGTTTAGGCTTTGGGTATTGTTAATTTTTCTTCCTTTCAAGCAAATGAAGTAATACAAATTACCTATGGTGCTTTTAGCTTACTCTCAAAGCCATATAATTTGAAGCTTCAATTTAGTGTTTGAATTAATTTAAAAAGAAGAATGTGATACAATTATGAGCTTTTTTTGGAATGAGTGTAGGGGAATGTTATCTATGATGAGGGTAAGTCGTGATTTTGGCAATACAATGCAACAAGGTGTGGTGCGGCCTGTTTCAGCTGATGTAGTATTCCATTCGAGCCGATTTCCAAATTACAAAAGAGGGGCTAATAACAAGATAATTGAGTTGATGGAGGACTCCAAAATAGTCTTGATGAAAGAGATGGTTGGTCGAGAGACTTCTCTTTTGCTTGATCAGGAAAAACGACTCTCAGTTCGTGACCTAGCTAGCAAATTTGAGAAAGGACTGGCTGCTGCTGCCAAATTATCCGATGAGGTTCTGACTTTACTGTATTCACTCATATATGATAATATGATATGGACTACTTGCATTTCAACCTTTTTTGGGTGAATTTCATTTCAAGCTTATATCTTCTCTCTTTTCCACAGAAAATGATAGGGGAACAAATATGACATAAATCATTCAGGAAAATTAGAAGGAAAGTTTTTTTTTGGAAAAAAGGATAACGCTTAATGAATAAATTTAGATACTTGTTGATTTTCATTTTTATTTATGTATGTCTATTTCATAAAGATTATGAAATCAAGATAATTTTAAAAATATTCAGAAACTAATCCTATTTTTCTTATTTCATATTTCAATGTAAAACCGAAAATGGAAAAATAACTTTCATCAGTTTGTTCCTTTTCATTTAATTATCTGTGATCCAAACATACTATTCGCACAGAGGGAAAGTATCTATTTCTAGGTCAAACTATGACGCTTTTTCATCATCCGCTCTCCTAAGTGGAATAAGAATTTCAGTGGAAGAGTGTCATATTTGGTCAAACACTAGTTTAGAGCATAACTATTTGTTTCATCCATGTTTGTTGAACGAACAAAATCAAAGAATGGGAGTTCTAGATGCATAAAACAAACTTTTGTAATTAGTATTATGCTTTACCGGCTTACAATTCTCTACTAACAAGTTGTAGTCATCTTCAACAATCTTAGTGCTCCAATGACACTACTTCGTTAAATATATATTATTGTCTTCCAGGCACGGCTTAAAGGATCAGCTTCACTTGAGAAACATGTTCTTTTAAAGAAGCTCCGAGATGCACTTGAATCTCTGGGAGGGCGCGTTGCAGGTAGGAACAAGGATGATGTTGAGGAAGCTATTTCCATGGTTAGTTCCGAGTCTCCTATTCTTTATTTTTGACACTTCTAAGTTAATAAGGTTCATAATCTTCCTCCTTTGTGAATAAACTTGCATGTGGATCTACAAAATATAGATAGGCTACTCACTCATCACTTCTTCTAGCAATAGCTTGTTTCGGATAGCTGAAAATGAATAATATCTCAAATTCTCAATAAATCAACCAAGTATAATCATTGTTTGGGTGTAAGTTTGCTAAACAATGATGTGAAATAATTAATATTGTTTGGCGGTGGTTCAAAAGTTTAGCTTTTATAAGGTAAATAAAAGAATATGAAAATAACAAAAAAGAAAAAATGAACTGTTGAAAAATCTGGATATAAATTTTCATATTCATAAAAACAGCTTTTCTAAGCAACTGAGCTGGTTGTAGTATTTTTAGGCAGACACATTGAACAATTACATTGAAGCGTTTTGCTGTATATGTTGTATTGTTATTATGCGTATACATTTGTATGTTTCTCTGGGGATCTCATTTTCCCCATGATATATATTTTATTATACCTATATAGTTCTGACTTCTGAGATCTTTTATCTAAATTTCTTGGAAATGAGATCTTTTGTCTAAATTCTTCGAAATGAATGCCCTTTTCTTTTGTCAAATAGCCAAATCACTATTTTAGGAATGAGTTTTTTGTCCTTGGTTTTGCATTATTAGATTTCTTACACTGTTATATGTGCAAACATTATAGTTCTTACAGTTCTCAAATTCTGAAGTACTTGCATATGAATGTTTGGAAAATTTCAGGTTGAGGCTTTAGCAGTTCAGTTAACTGAAAGAGAAGGAGAATTGATTCAGGAAAAGGAAGAAGTTAAAAAGCTTGCAACTTTTCTTAAGCAGGTATATTAGAAATATACAAGTTCTTTCATCCAAAAATGTGTCTTGCTTTAAGACCGTTGTTTCCCCCCATACCCAGTCATGTTGGATCAAGCGAAGCAATGGCTCATGTAATCTGCCAAGAATAGGATGTAGATAGTTTAAATAGTATTCTCTCCAAAAAATAGTCCTCTTTGAATAAAATAAGCTAAGTTTCATTGTTTTAGAAGGTTTTTAAATAACAAAGTATCCCAAACATGTTGAGCATGTTCGTTTAATTAAATCAACATTTTATCAATGATATTCAATAATTGTACCTTACTTCAATTGTAGATTTTCAACAGTTGTACCTTATTAACTTTAAAAGTGGTATATAGGTGAAATTTGACTCTTTTAGTGGGACTGTAGGAGTATCAAACCAACAAAGAAATCTAAAACGTATACGTCCCGTTAATAAGTAACAACGCGGTTTTTGTTTGCAATTTGAAAAGGCAGGGGTGGGCATGGTTGGTTAACCGTAGTTTGGTTAACCAATATATGGTTAACCGAGATTTCGGTTAACCGAGTAATATTTAACCATGATATAGGTTAACCATTAATTGGTTAATCGAAAAACCATCTTAGCCTTTTAGCAAACCGTTAAGAGATACGTAGTATTAACGACCTGGGTTCCATCTTAGTGCATGCGCATAGTATACAATTCATAGTTGTCATGGCGCATGGCGCAACCCATGGCGCACAGGCCATTTTCCATGGCGATGGCGATGGCGCAAATATGGCGTCGCCACGTGACAAAAAAAACTTCAAAACGAATAATAGATACTGCAATTCATCAACCCAAGTTTACCCAACCACCAAAACATGATAAAATAGTTCAAAGTACTTCCAAAAAACATAATATTCAAAAAAAAGTTTCTGTCTTGCAAAAATAGTAGTTAGGGTTTATGTTAGTTGTGTTTATTTATTTGTAGTTAGGGTTGTTGTTAGTATTATGAGCTAAAATAGTAAGGTTTTGTTAGTGTTTTTTTTGTTAGGGTTTATGTGTGTGTATATAAAACTATATATTTATATATATAGCTATATATTTATAACTATATATATAATTCTATATTGTATATAACTTAGTATTGAAACTCACAATTAATGAAAAAAATTGCAAAAGAAACTCACAATTAATAATTGAAAACAAGGTTTATTAATGAGAATTAAAATTAAAAAACTAATCAAAACAAAATGTGAAGTATATCATAGAAGGTTATTTTAAAATAGAAGTATCACAGTTAAAACGCACACACAAAAACAAGGTTACAACAACAAAATTATAAATACACAACTTAATTAATTACAATTTAAAATAAAATAAAAACTGAAGCCAAAGATCAAGGACCTGGGAACTGGGAAGTCTGCAAGTTCCTCTGCTGCTCTGATTCCGCGAGGGACTGAGGGAGGGCGACTATGTGAGTTCGTCTTAGTTGTTTGCTTCCTACGTGCAACTTTGGGCAACGAATGGTCCGTAAGGTAGATTAGTTTGGGCTTAGCTTTTAATTTAAAGCCTGAAACCTTAATTAAATTAGCCCTAATTAAGGCCTAAATCTATTTTATCTGGTTCTGGGCCTGCCACTGCGGTTCAAATTGTGAATAAGTCGAGGATTTCTTCGCCAACATCGAGCCTAGACGACTACTGGACGACACAAACGCCATGGCGATGGCGCCCAAATGGCGAAGGCGCAGGAATGGCGACGCCATGTGTATACACCTCGCCACAGCCCCTTTTCATAGCACAGAGGGTTTTTCGTGCCACATGGCGCATGGCGCGCGCGCCATATTGCGCTATCGACTACCACATGGTATACATACAGAATTAATAGACTTAAAATTTGTTTTCAATTATTAATTCATTTTGCAATTCATGTTGGTAATCAATCCCTGTAGATAACCACTATCTGACTCACGTATGAATGTGTTAAAGGTAGTCGGTTAGTTGTTGCTACGCTATATGCATTTCACGCACACCCAACCTCTAGGCCAATGGCTTGTATTAATATTCCAGTAAATCAATTAAATAATCATCGATCGGTAGTTCAATTTATATATACTAAATGGAGAAAACACCTTCGACTAAAGCTGACTGTGACTTGAATTTGGAATAATTTCTTAACTTTGGGTTGTCTGTTAACCGGCGGTATTTAATTTCAAAACCGTAACTGTACCGTGAACCGCTTTATTCTTTCGATCAGTTAACCGTACCACAAGTCTTTAAAAACACGGTATGGTTAACAAAAAAAACTCCGTTTTTTCAGTTATTTACCACGGTTAAGCGGTTACGTTTTTTCATGCCGACCCCTAGTACTGACTGCTTGTTTTTTTAATGCTGTGTTATTCTGAAGATTGATCTAAAACACACCTCTATGACACAAGGACATAGTTGATGACAAAATAACTGCAGCTCTAATTTGGAAAGATATTTCCAGTTTTTTTTTTTGGGAGAGACAGGTGGAGTGAAGAAGGATAATTTATTGTGTAATACATCAATTTTTTTGTCTAAAATTAGAAGATAACTATATGTTCATATTCATATTCACTTTCTTGGTTTCTTTCCATCCAAACCCATTACTTAGTTTTAAAGCATTTTAGCGGATCATCATCATTACCCCAATGCCGCAAAGGCTCCCACCTACGATGGGGTGGGGGTGGGATCAGATGTACGCAGTCTTACCCCTGCACTAAAGCGCAAAAAGACTGTTTCCGAATGACTTTTAGCTGACGTGTCAATGAATTTCAAATAACTTGTTAATTAATGCTGGAGCTATTGCTTTTACTCCTGTTACAGTCTCTTTCCTGATAATATCCTGAATAAACTCATCATTGAAGCGTACTTTTCTTTCTTTCTGAAATTGGCATTGGCTGACTCAAATACCCACAATGGGAGTGCCACATCCCAGTAGTATGGTTGATTCTTATGATCTGTACAATATCTAAACACCTGTTTTTTTATGTTAGCTGAAGTAATTGATTGAACTGCAACTAAAATGGGAGTTTTTTTATATCTTCACAGGCTTCGGAAGACGCTAAGAAACTTGTTAATGAAGAAAGAGCTTTTGCCAGAGCTGAAATTGAAAATGCAAGAGCAGCTGTTCAGAGGGTTGAAGAAGCCCTTCAAGAGTTCGAACAAATGTCCCGAGCCTCAGGAGGACAACAGGTGATCAACATTTTCGCAATTGGAAATTCACTTTAGGTCCTGCACGTAGATGCTATACAGTACAACACTTTCTTTTCCTGACGGCAACCTGAAATAAATTTACAGTTTTCTTTGAAACCACAACTCACAGTAACACAAGAAAAATGGTGCTTAACCTAAAGTTTTGTTTCATTCCTTGTTTTTTAAAAGCCATTACATTGATTTTTATGTACACTGTTGATTGTGAAGGATTTGCAAGAATTGATGAAGGAAGTTCAAGAAGCTAGGCGTATCAAAATGCTGCATCAGCCTAGCAAGGTATTGGTGCCATATGCCCACATATTGATGAATAGAATGTTCCTTCACATTTGTTTGTATGGAGGGGTTAAGAGGGGAAGGCTTTCGAGGATTTAGTTTATACCTTGATGAAAAGAATGTTCCTAGAAAAAAATGTGATATCCGGTCACATATTATGCTAACCTTTCAATTTATATAAAATTCCAAATATGTATAATGATATAGACGAACCCCCTCCAAAACCTTTCTAAAATGAATAAACGGTGATATAAATGGTATGCTATCACATACTCTCTCTGTTCTATAATTCTCTTCCTACTTTCCCTTTTTAGAGATGCCCAAAATTTTATTTACTTTTCCTTTTAAGGATAGATTGTGCGGTTGGTATTGTCTTCTCATACTTTACATCAACCACAACTGTACAATATGACCTTAATACATGTGTCAAGTCAAACATGGAAGAAAATTTTGGGATGGAGGTAGTATTAAGTTAATCTTTCAATGTATATGAAATCTCAAATATATATCAAGATATAGATGAAGCCTTACAAAAATTCCCCTCAACTCCAAACCTCTCCCCATCTCTGATGTTGAAAGTTTTCCCTTCAACATGCATCCGATATGCTTCTCCAATTCTTAGTTCCTTCAAGTAGAGCCTCTGTGAAAGCCTGCACTCTGTGGCTATGGAAAAATGATGAAATATTAAGATGAAGTTTTAGTAAATGTAGAAGTGAAATGGTTTGATCACCTGATGGAGCAAAACTGGTGTAAACATGAGGATATATAAGTCCGTATTGTGGAAGCAAATAAATTTTCTGTGGTATTAGATCTGTAGATGGGTAAATATACCCTCCACCTTGTAGCATTGAAGTGATAATAAGAAGTTTAAATTCGGTTAATGATTTTCCAGTAGAGTACTTATTTTATTTTATTTTATTTTCATTTGGAACAGGTGATGGATATGCAACATGAGCTTCAGGCATTGAGAGCTCAGCTTCAAGAAAAATCTGAGCACTCACAAAAGCTTCAGAAGGAGGTCGATGAATACCTTCTGTGTGCATCTTTTATTGCTTTTTATGCTACCTAGGATCTTGCTTTGATGGAAGGTCGATAATTTGTCACTGACAAATAACTTTCTGGAAAAAATAAATCAGCTGGCTCTGAGAAAGAGGGAAAACTGCAATACAGAAACCTCGTATGAAATATATGGCAGTGAAGCACTGGGTTCATTTTTACAAATTCAGCCTTGTTCAAGTGAAGCTCTAGATGTTTCAGAATTTTCAATTCAGTGGTATCGCTTGGCATCCGAAGGGGGAAGAAAAGAACCCATTTCAGGTTACTTACCACCAGTCTTCTTATCCACTTGAAAACACGGCTCTCTATGTATCATTGTGCAGTTTGCTGTCTTTCTCATCGTTTCTTGTGTATTTTCCTTGCTAAAAATGGTATGCCTTGAATTGCATACCTCATATTTTTGTAGACAGAAGCCGTTCCACACTGACCAAGTATAAAGAATTGGCATATAAGACCATGAACTGTTCTTATCATTAGGTTGATTCTTTAAGATGGAACCTCAATAACAAGTACATGGACTTCAAGGTTTTTCTGCTCCAACAAGGCATCATCTTATATGGCATGTTAAGTTGTCCCACATTGGCTAAATATTATGAACTCACTTAAGAACTGTGACCTACTAGTACTATATGCTTGAGCTTTTACGATGGTACACCAAGTTTTAATACCCTACGGAATTATGAAAAAGCGCTTATTAATTTATTACTTATGCATCCTTGGTTCCTTGCATTAATCTTAATCTATACTGCGCTATTTAGGGGCTACCAAGCCTTATTATGCACCAGAGCCATTTGATGTTGGGCGCATCTTGCAAGCTGATATGATATTGGAGAACCAAATAGTAACTTTGACAACCACTGGTCCTATAGATCCAGGTTACCCGTTATGATGAACTTGTTTATTTATTTGTTTTTGGAAAGTGAATATTATACTTAATTTCTTTCCTTCTTACTCAGTTACTGTTTTTTAAAAGTTATTCTGTTAATGCAAATCCCTTTTATATTTGTTGGAGTTAAAGTAATAATCTAAATGCATAGCCTAAAATGCTCCTATAACAGCTGCCGGACTTGGAAACTATGTTGAAGCATTGGTTCGAAGGCATGAAACTGAATTCAATGTATGTTTCCTACTATATTGATTATTTTCACACTTGAAATTCCTCATATCATTTTTTTCTTCTAAACTTCAACCACATCTCGTGATGAAGAAATCTATGGCGTCACATGAAGAGGCTTAGCTAATTTACTCCATATATTAACTTTAGATTTTTAGTTATGGGCATAGACATGAGGTGTTATTTTGGCCTTGAAGTTTGACAATTGAAATAACTGTGTGATCCTCAGAATATTGTGCTTACTCCGTATTTATTTATGATCTGTATACTTGGGCATGAGTTGCTAATATGTCGTCGTGGCTTAGAAATTCAACAATTGAGTAAAGAACTCTGTGATCCTATAAATCATAGCCTAGGCTCTTAGCCATATTTTTCTAATCAAATGATTCTGCATAACTTTGAGAGGGGATTTCTTCTGGTTTGAAGTTTGAACTTCAGGGGGAATTTGGATTGTGTGATCTTTTATTATCTTAGGTTATAAGTGATAGGAATCGTGCCTATTAGGCTAATAATAGAAATAATAATAATAATAATAATAAGTGGACATTTAGTATAAATAGAAGGGGAGGGGAGGAATAAAGGTAGGCTGTTATTGAATTAGAAAATAGAACATTGGAGAGCTCTGGCACTCTCGAACTTGCCCCGAAACTATCTCTTTTGTAATTCTTTCTGTTAGTTGAATGAAAGATCAGTTTCTTGATTATCTTGTTAGATAGAAATCTGGAAACTGTCAGTGTTCTATCATTGGTATCAGAGCACATCGACACTGTGGAGGGTCTTTAATCGTGCGCAAATGGATTTACGTATGAACAAGCTGGAGAAATCTATGGAGAAACCTACGATGACTTTGGCGGCTATACAGGAGTCACTCGCGGAACTGAATTGATTGCACACTTTGCACCGCTCGCATCGCACTTTGAATCATGGAGAGATTTGCAACATCACACTTCGAGTGAGGAGCCCTAGACATCGTTCGTCGCAGTCGTTCACCAGTTCGCAGACTGAGTCGTGAACTGCTTCTCCTAGTTCGCAGTCTCGAACGGTTACTCTTAGTTCATAATCGCGGAAGGCTTCGCTCAGTTCGCAGGGATCATCACTAAGCGCGAAAGTTTCTTCGCACAACTCGCAACAGCAGCGTCAGACAATTAACCATAGCCCCGTGATATCGAGAGGTAATTCCGGACGTTCTTTGTCTGGGTTTGATCATAGATACTAGTGTTGGACTCGGGTCGGGCCACCTGGCCCGTGGACCGGCCCGGCCCGCTACTGTGTGGGACTATTAGAAAATGAACTCAGATAGAATAAAGGAGATTCAAATGTTATTGATTATAAGAGTCAATACAAGTATTTATAGTAGAATGCAAGTAACTAACTCTAACAGCCTGTATAACAGCACTAACAGCCCAAAGTATATCTAGAAGGTTTAAAGCTATTTACAATATATGTATGTAACATTATTTTATATTCCTAACATTCCCCCTTCAAACTTAGGGTGATTGATTTGGAAGGTCGGTCAATCACACTAAGTTTGGTTTTTAACTCAAGAAAAGAAGATGCATACAAAGCCTTTGTCAGAATATCAGCAATTTGTTGGGAAGCAGGAATATGGAACACTTCAATCTGCTTGGACTGAACTTTCTCCCTCACAAAAAAGAGATCAATCTCCATGTGTTTTATCCTGGAGTGTAACACAGGGTTGTGGGCAAGCTGTACAGTGCTGAGGTTGTCACAGTAGACCTTTGGAGTAGAAAATGATACTTGAAGCTCTTTGAGTAAGAACTGAACCCACAGAAGTTCAGCTGCAGTGTCTGCTAAACTTCTGTATTCAGCTTCTGCAGAGGATCTGGCCACTCTCAATTGTTTCTTGGACCACCAAGAAATGATGTTTGACCCAAGAAAGATGCATGATCCAGAAGTGGACCTTCTGTCAACTAGGTCAGATGCCCAATCAGCATCACAAAAGGCAAAGATAGGTAAAGGCATAGTTTTCAGAGGTAGAGGTTTAATGATGATGCCATGTGTTATAGTACCAGATATCTATGTGTTTTACTGCCTTCCAGTGATCTTGTAGAGGTGCTGCCATGAACTGACAGACCTTATTTACAGCATAACTGAGTTCTCGGGTCCGGGTCCGGGTCGGGCCTAGGCCCAGGGGTAGGGCGGGTCCGGGCTCGGGTCTCACATTTGGCGAACCGGCCCAGCCGGGTCGGGCCCGGGCCAAATTGATTTTTTTTTTTCATTTTTGGGGGCTACCCAGGCCGGTCCCGGGTCCACCATTCCTGAACCGCCCGGGCCTATGCCCGACCCGGACCCCTCCCGGACCCGACTCCACCCCTAATAGATACCCCACGGAAGATAGAATACCTGCACAAGCTGGAAGAAAAGTGGACATACCTTGGTTTAATGGAGATGAAGTTTATGGATGGATCGTTAGGATGGGACATTATTTCAGTCTCAAGGCTACTGAGGAAAAAAATAAAGTTGAGGTAGCAGCAGGCGCAATGGAGGAAAGGGCGTTAGACTGGTTTCAATGGTGGGAAACTCAAACGAGAGAAAAGAGTTGGGAGGCTCTGAAGGAAGCGATGACTTGGTGTTTCCAACCTACACGCAGTCGGAAGACAGAGAACCAGGATTCCTCGCGACCGCCAAGAACTTCTCACAGTTCGAAATCGCAAACTTCATCATCCGCCAGCAGTTCACGACCAAGTACGACGTGATCGAGAGGAGAAGCTGTCCGTTCACAGATGTCATCGCCATCACAAACAGCTTCTACCAATTCGCAAGTTTGCTCGCCAACATCTTCTTCCAGTTTACAATTTTCTCCGCAAGCCGTGTCTCCAGGTTCACAGACTTCATCATACGCTAGCAGTCCACTTCAAGGTACGATGCGACCAGAAGAAGAAGCTTCCAGTTCACCATTGCTGTCCAAGTCGCAGGAATCTGGCAACTTACGGCAACCTCTCTCTGAAGATACGTTCATCGATGGTGATGAGGGACGAGAGGAGAAATCTGCTGTGGTGACTCAATCCTCTATCTCCATAGACTATGAATCTGTCTTTGATAAATTTGCTGGTTCAAATACTTGGGAAAGCTCTACAGGGACTGTCCACATCGAGGAAACTGAGGAAATAGAACAGGGGAATGATGGAAAGAAGCTTCAGGGAATCATCAGCGCAGACACTAATGCTGCTGTGGAACTAATCAAACAAGGATGGATACCGAAGATTGAAAAGCATGGGTGTGTTGTTCGGTTCTACAATGGCTTGCAAGGTTTTACTTCCGAGTCTGATTGTGGATTAGATCAGAGCTCTGAGTCAAACTCAAGTTATCATGTTGCACCAAAGAGGAAGTTAGCTGGGCATCTTACTGTTAAGAAGAAATTCTTGTATATTTCTGGTGCATTGGAGGCTCGTATGACAGTATGACTACATTAAGGAGATTAAGAATTCAGGAAATATCACCATTCTTATTGATGAAGTCCCTACTCTAAGTGGTTCTGGCATGGATAGGAGAGGAAGTACGGAATTCAGACTTGACATGAAAGCATATTCTATCCTAAGATTCTTGATGGAGTGCTGAAATTATTTGGAGGATGGTGAGGTTGCACTAGGGAGCTGTGGAGCTGTGGACCTGTGGTAGAAAGCATATTCTATCCTAAGATTCTTGATGGAGTGCTGAAATTTGTTTTTGAGAAAAGAATAAGCTATGTTCGTATTGATGAGCAGTCTTCTATTCAATCATTCCACAACTCAAAAGAGGTTAAGATTGCCAATATTGGAATACTTGCTGAAGCGTACGAAACTTCATTAGATATCTCTTCTGCTGCTGAAATGTTTGTGATATCAAAAGATTTGGTACTGAAGTTCCTAGTCCAGCAATCAGTCAAGTACTGGGAGGGGAGAGGTGCAAGAATGAAGTGGAAGTGGAAGATCATGGCTGTTTCCTATCACCCACCTTGAGGACAAGGTGGTTGTTTAGGGGGGTAGTATTGATAGGAATCGGGCCTATTAGGCTAATAATAGAAATAATAATAATAAGTGTACATTTAGTATAAGTAGAAGGAGAGGGGAGGAATAAAGGTATGCTGTTATTGAATTAGAAAATAAAACTTTGGAGAGCTCTGGCACTCTCGAACTTGCCCAGAAACTATCTCTTTTGTAATTCTTTCTGTTAGTTGAATGAAAGATCAGTTTCTTGATTATCTTGTTAGATAGAAATCTGGAAACTGTCAGTGTTCTATCAACAAGCTAAGAAGCACGGAAACTACGTAGAGTTCACGTTTTGCTGTTTCTCAAACTTGACAAGGTGTTGGAAACCTGAGAACTACAATTTTTCACTTCCTTGATAAACAAAGTCCGGAAATCCATCTTCCCTCAGTAATTGGTGTTCAGAAACGTTTAGGTTTTTGTTTTCTTAATACTTTTTGAGGGAAGTTCTTGATGAAAGTCAACCAGTCAGTCTCTTTATGGGATTTCTTGATGGATTTTTTATGGGATTTCTAAATAGCAACAGTCTTGTTAAAGTGTATGCCTTGGTGGAAATATATTACTTCGTACATTTTAGTATTTTACATTTGATTATCTACTACTATGTTAATAATTTCTAATTTGAATACAAAAAATTTATATGCGGAAAAGTTATATGAAAAAACATTGTATACATACAAAAATACTATACATATTTACAATTTTTAATAAATGTACCCCGCCATTATTATTATTTACACTTTGCCTCCACCTGTTGTATCCTTTATTTTATTTTATTTTATACCATTACCTATTTTATTTTGGATAAGACTGCGTACATCTGACCCCCCCTTACCCTACCATAGGTGGGAGCCTTTGCGGCACTGGGGTAATGTTGATGATGATGCGAAAGTTCCCACTTTGAATTGCACTCATATTAAGAAAGTGACACTGTTTTGACAGTGACACTGTATTTTTGTATCCAAAAAAGGAAAGTGAGAACTTTAAATAGGGACGGAAGGAGTATAAGATAACATCGTGAAAGGTAATGTGAGGTTATGCGAATGGAGTATAGTTGCATACTTGCATGTTTGGTTCATATTTCGGGAATGTGACATATCCTCACAAAATTATTTATCTAATTTGAAGGGCAAACAGACTACTAAAAAGTACTCGTACAATACCTAAGAAATGTGATGTAAAAAGTCCATAACATTGCCCCATTTTCCAATGTGATAGTATTATATTATCTCGAAGGAAAGAAGGTTGTTTAACAGCCTCAGATTACCTTGGTGATATGAGATAACTCGAAGTTTCGAACCAAACACCTTCCCATCAATCTACTTAGCCCATTAAATACTCCCTGGTGCTTTTTAATAACCAATTTTGAAGAAAAAAACATGCTCAGCAAGTTATGTGTGGTTTAAATATCTTTAATGCTTTTATGGGCAATGTACAGCCAAATGTATATTTTCTCATACTCTCTCTCATGTTTATGTATTCTATTGTTTTTTCTTATTTTCAGGTAGTTATTGTTCAGATGAATGGTGTGGATCAACCTGTTCAATCAATCCATGCACTGCACATTGGAAAGATGAGAATAAAACTTTGTAAAGGGAAGATGAATGTGGCAAAAGAATATTATTCTACTTCAATGCAGGTATTAGCCGCACCACTATGTTCTACAGTTCTACCAATATGACACACAATGTCACCTGTTTCAGCACATCTGGTTATGCGATCAAATTCTTTGTGTCAGCAATTAAAAGGATAAACGGGAAGGGGCAGTAATCTCTAGGGAGTTTTCCTTCTTAAGAACTTGGGGAGTTTTTCCTTCCCCTGATTTTCTTTTTAATTTTTTTCTTGTATATCTTATATAGCATAGCTCCCTTTTGTAAGAGGGATTACATGCATAGAAATAGGGAAAAGAAGAAATTCTAAACATTCACTTCCTAAAATAGAAAAGGTAATGAGGTATATATAATAAAATCAGAATCAAATCAATCAGGCAAATCGATCAACAATGACCTCTCGTTCTTCTACTTGATTGCTCTTTTTTCCTAATATCATGCATCACATCTTCTCTTTACATAGGTTTTTGATAGTCTCTTGGCTTCACACAAGGAAACTAAGGCCACTTGGCTCAACATGAAGGACTTGTTTGGTTGGAAAGTTTTTGAGGGAAGGGGTGAAAATATATTGGTTGGGTGGTAAAACCAAACACATCCAAAATGGAAGGTGAAAATATGTTTCCATTGTGTTGAATTGAATTATGCCATCTGAAAAGGTTGTGTTTTTGGGTTACATTTAAGCTTCTACGTTGATACACTCTATATAGGGTAATAGGGGGGATGTTTTTGACAGTTGAGGAATTTGTTTCACATGGGATACATATAAAATTACAAGCCAACTTATAAGATTTTTAACTACTCGCCGATATGGTTGACCTTTTATAATAAAATTTCAAGTCATAATATGTTATCAAAGTCAGTCTGATTCATAGACAAGGTTGTATGGGTATGTAATTAGAAATGCACATTCTAGGCAAGGTGTTGGACCGTGATGCTATGTTTCCTTGAGAAAAATAATTAAAGAATGAGGAGAGGTGCATGTGTGTAAGTGGGGTGTTGTGCAGTTTGTTTCACATCAAATCAACTACATATAAAAAACAAGTCTAAATATAAGATCTTGGTCTATTCCTCAAATCATGCATGATTGACCAATAAGTTGGACCCCAAGCCTTAATATTGACAACCATCCTTCGACATTTCATTGCTGTTTTATGGTAAACGGTTTTGCCTTTTGTCAGCTCTGTGGAGTTAGAGGTGGTGGGACTGCTGCTGCTCAGGCAGCTTTTTGGCAAGCAAAGTCTGGGATTTCCTTTGTGATGGTTTTTGAAACTGAGCGTGAACGAAATGCTGCTATTATGCTGGCCAGACGGTTCGCTTATGATTGTAATGTAAGCCCTTGCGAGTTTTATTGGGTAACCCTTTATCAACCAGAATAACATATATGCGGATTTATACTTCGCACCTGAAAGCAACAAGAAGCACAACAGTGCAACACACACACTAACATAAAGTCCTTGATTGTGCATTTGTGCAGATTACCCTTGCAGGGCCTGATGATAGAACTGCTGTGTGAACTCACCAAGGCTTCTTAGAATGTGTAAATTGTACTGATATCCTAATGTTATTTATTTATTTGTTAAGTTTTGCCCTAGGGTTTTGCTTCCCTTCTGTTCTTTTTTTCCATTTCTTCTTAGCTCAGGCATTCTTTTATTTGCCTCAGTTTGTTATTTATTATTTATTTTGTTTTTACTTTTTTGTCCACTGGATAAATGTGGTTGTCATTACTATACATGGGTTGTAACTTGTAACAATCTGTAGTACAGTACTACAGTTGCTGGCGTGTCTTATGTAATGGTGTGAAATGTGTGATTAAGATGATCTTTTCCCACATTGTGAGGGATTTTAGATGTTTTGATTTGATAATATAAATGTACTGTATATTTGTATGTATGGAACTTGAACTAATATGGCATGCATCAACCTATCAAAGCAGTTCAAATGTAACAAATACATTCAAATTAAATGCGCCAGATTACTGGAAAAACTCATGTTATTACTTATTAGTATTCCCCTATCAATAATCCCTTTGGTTTAACATGCATTTTTGTTTTGTTTTTCGTTTATGCTATTAGCACTTCATTTGAGTCTCAATGAGTCTGTACCCTGTAACCATTCAAGTTTCAACCTCCATTTAATCTACAAATATTCTATTTTAAGAAAGGGAATACGGAGTATTAGTTTTGCTTCAAGGATGTTTGCGACTATTGATGGGCTCGGGCCGGGCCAAGGCCCGGTCGGGCCGCTGGTTTGTATGACATGAGCCCGGGACCGGCCTGAGGGTTGGACGGGTCCGGTTCGGGCCGGGCCACCCGTCCGGGTCACGGGTCGGGTCCGATTCGGGCCGGGTCGGTTAAAGTTTTTTTTAATATAATTTATATTTTATAGTTTATAGTTTTATACGAGTATTAAAAACAAACTTCAAGTGCATTTATTTGAAATGAAATAGGAACTACATTTTAAAATTAAAACAAATTTTAAGAGAAATATTTTGAAAATTGTAACCAATCGGAACTTCCCGCATCTCCCGATCCTTTGGCTTTGTCACATGACTTCATATGCTTGTTTGCCATCTCGTATCCGCCTGAAATCTCCATGCTACATTTTTTCTCGCACCATTTGCAAATTGCGTACCACATCCCGGTCTTCGGGTCCTTCTGCTTATCAAAATTATACCGTATAATGGCATCTTGATTTTCCATCTTAACTTCTTAAGTATAAACTATAAAGTAGATATATAAATAATAAATATAATATATTGGAGAATAAGAGAATTAGAGAGTAGAGAGTTAAGAATAGGATTTAGGAAGAATTGGAGAAGAGATGAAAAAATGTTTAAGATTAGGAGTATTTATAGGTTTTTTTACCCCCCACCCCCCCGGACCCCCCTGCACCCCACCCAACGACTATATAGCCGTTTGGGTTGTCCCCACCCACCCCCAACGGCTAGTAGCCCAATTTATTTTTTTTTAAAATCATACCGGACCCGGCCTCGGGCCTGACCCGGCCGGGCCGGGTCACATTTATCCGGAACCGTGCCCGCTCCGCCCATTCCCACCGGTTCGGGTCCACACCCGGTCCCGGACCGCCCGACCGGGCCTGTCCCAGGCCCGCACAGTACCGGGCCGGGTCACGGGCCGGGTGGCCCGAACCGAATCCACTCCTATTTGCGACAGTACTTCATAAATATCTGAACTACTGAAGGTATCATAATTATAATATTTGATTCAATTGTCATATTATGAAAGATCTTTTTGAATTGCGTTCCGATTCATTTTACCAAACTGCAAGTAGAATCAGAACTCAGAAGTATGAACTACTATAGATCCAGCACAATTTATTATGATACCAATTTCCAATATGTATTTTACACATTTTTTTTTGTTTTCATGTCCACCCTTGAACAAAGTGGCTACATCAATTCTGATGCACATACATTACAGAAATATTTTAATTATATAACCGAGTAGTATTTGAAAATAAAAGTGACTAGAAAATTGTAGGAGTATACAAAAACTGGTGTATTACACAATTTACACTATTACTTTAGTATATGGTAAAAAGCAGTTCCAAATTCCAAACACCACTCTTTAAGCTTTTAAATTTAAAACGTTTAAAGTTAAGCAGGAAGTCAGTGTTATTGTTTTCAGCAAAAAGTTCAATATTTTTTTTAAACAATGAAAACACTCCCTTAGAACAGCTCACATTCAATTTAAAATAATTCCTTTTTCTACCCAAACTTTTTAAACATAATTTTTCCATTGAAAGCTATACATGGTTCAAACTTAAAACTAAAAGACTATGAACAGAGTTGTTGACTCTAACAAATGATTCTTGAAACTTGAAAGCAAATGGCATTTTATTTATTTTGTTTGTTTTTGGGAGGTGGCGCTGCCTCTCTCAATTGAGCAATGTAATAAGTCACATTCACATCTTACAAGCAATAAACATTAACATCCACACCTATCACTACTTTCCAATGCCTACAGGCTACAACTAATCTAAGGTCCCAGGAAAAGGTCCCAGGAAAGACCCCAAAAAAACCTTAACATCCACACCTGTTATCTTTCATGGGAGAAAAAGGTCCCAGGAAAGACCCCAAAAAAAACCAACAAAAGAACACAAGAGATTAAGCCTAAAGCTTGGAAAGAAATGGTGGCAGACTCTACTTTGCTTCTTGCATGTCTTCTTCTGTTCTCCAAACCACATCTTCAAGGCAAGTCGAGAGACTCTTGTAAAACTGCAGAATATCAAAAGTGATTTGAGACTCAGCTGAGATGCAATTAATATACAAATCCAACCACAATTAGCTGATACAATTTATATCAAGTGTGATGAATATTACAGAGATCATTTATTCACAATGAACTGTAGTTGCATTATAAAGGATTGGAGAATACGATGGGATCTTAACTAAATCTTTAAGGCTCTCTTTGGATAAAAGTTGAACAACTTGAGAAAACCTAGGTTCAATGAAAGTTGGGCAAACCTAAGTGAACCCAAGTGTGTATACAAAAAGATTATTCGAATAATTATTAAGATTAGCTCTGGTAAATGTACAACAACAACAACAACTAAGCTTTAATCCGAAAAGACTTTGGAGTCGGCTAACATGAATAAGTACATGCTATCAGAGCCAAAAGGAAAATAAAGATTTGGATGAAGGCTAATATAGGTGAATATATTAAAATTACTTATAAAGAAAACTTAGCCGCTGATAAGACTCTCCTAGACTTTATTGGCGTTCAGGGTGGTTCACCTAAATTCCCGAGAAACCCGAGAAACACAGTTTCTCTTCGTAAAAGGATAAATAAACGAGGTGCACCCAGAATTAAACGTCGAAAAAACCCAAGTCCATCCTTGTTACCCAAGCATAAGTCTTCTTCACAAATGATGAGCCTAATATTGTTATTGTATGACCCATAGGTGATTGGTAATAAGACGAATTGGAAAATACAATGAATGTGATTACCTTGTGGAATTCCAATGTATCTCCTTTTGCCTTGCGCACCTCAACAAGATGAAGAGAAGGGGCAACTTGAAATACCTGGTTCGAGAATTTATACTTTAACTTACAAACAAATGCCCTATTTTAACTTATTCAGACTTTCAAGTTTCAACACTGATGACAGAAATAAACATTTTATTCATTCACCTCGGTTGAAACATTAAGATTCCCTTTTCTTCCTGCTTTTATGTTTTCCAGCCGCATCTGCAGATAAAAAGTAAAAATGATCATTAATTATTGTAATCTTTCATAATTTCATGTAAGCATAGCATAATAAAAATTGATCCAGAATGATTGGAAATGGTACATTACCTTATAATTCTTTTTGCTAACATCAAACCCTAGGGGTTTTGCCGCTTCTTCGATCTTACTGATTATCTCATTCGCTGTGCATTTTGAAGTGAACCTTGTTTCCCTCTTGAACCCCTGTGAGGAATAAAAACATATTTCATCTAATCAGCTTTTGTTCCCATGCATCAACTTCAGAATTTGATAATTCCTTGTTCGAGAGACCAAAAAATGTTTTTTATTTAAGAAGACACAGAAAGATTTGCGGAGGCATAATGAGCCCTCAGATATCAGCTAAATGTAAAATATAAACCACAACAAAACACTTTATCCTACTCCTCCTATTAGATTGACCTTTTGTGATTTAATATCAATTCTTAATCATAACATAAGAATAGAAGAAACCTTTTCGTCAAAGAGATTTCCAAGATTGAGCCCTTTTGACATAGAAATTAACTCGAATGCATTCATGGCAGTTGGTTGCTGTTCCTTTTTCTCTGTAACATGATGCTCCTGTTATATTACAAAAATGGTATGAATCTCATGAACCACACATCGAATTACTGTAGTTAAGTTCTGAAAATAACTTTTAAACTTTTAACTCACTTTAGCATCCTTAAAAACAGCTTCCACATCATCAACATTTGCATCTTCTTTCTCATAAAATACGGGAGGTTTATAGTCTTTCTTAAACCACTCATTTTCCAAAATCTCAGGGATGGTAATGCGCTGTTCAGTAAACATGATTAACAAAATTAAACACAAGCAACAGAAAGGAGAAATCGCTCAGAATATTCGGTTCTTATAGAGACTTAAAAAATCCCTTAAATGTTATGTACCAAGTAACTGCCATTAGATAAAATTATTAATTTTAAATTTTAATCTTTACCACAATAGTGTTACTAATGCAGTTACCCATTGTCAACTTGCAATACTAAATTTCAATGCAGTCAGTGAGAGGTGACTAGTGAGTAGTGACGGATAGTGACATTGTCCAATGGATTTTTTATTAGTAATGTTTAAGGAAAATTCTTAAAAAAGGATTTACACTCACAGTTGAGGGATTTGGATCCAAAATTCGAGTAATAAGCTTCATTGCACTGAAGGAGATCCAGGGTGGGCAAGTAAATTCAGCTGAAGAAATCTGCATATATCACACTAGAGATTTAACAAAACAAATTAAGTTAAAAATGAGAAATCTAGTGTGGTTGTATGAAAAGCTGACCTTTTTATATAGGTTCATAAGATTAGAATCATCAAAAGGCAAGTATCCTGCAAGCAATACAAAGAGTATTACTCCACAGGACCACAAGTCTGCCGCCGACCCATCATAACCTTGATCATCTAAAACCTAATGAAAATAACTTTGATTCTTTAGGACTACTAGGCTGATAACAAAATACATTAACTCTCTTTACATGCTGTAGTGGTTATGTTTATACCTCAGGAGCAACATAATTTGGTGTTCCACAAGTAGTGTGAAGTAAACCGTCATCCTGTCAAATTGTAGTGGTAATTCAGAGCAGTGTTCAATTGTTGCAACAATCATGCCTATCCCCTATTAATCCCCGCTTAGCACTTTTGACTATATTGCAATTTATTTTTGAAATAAAAAACTCCAATTTCAATTAAATGAAA